ACGTTGCATGAGAGATATCGAATTTCTGCATTTTGAAGATGAAACGTCTGCAATAAAGCACTTAACGCTTTGTGTTTGTAGGAACAAAAAACAAACTGAGACTCACCATTCAATAACTGCTATGGATATGTCTCAGCCTGCTGACGCCTTTGTATGCAAGTTAGACATTATCCACTGCCCGGTTAAGTTGAACAACGAGGACAGTTCTATGGATATACAACTTCTTTATTATGCTACGTTTCGGTATAGCTTCTTACACCGTTTTCAAACATATACCGGCATAAGAAGCTATACCGAAACGTCGCTATTGTGAAAATAGAGACGTTGATCATCCATGAAGTTTCGTCATCTCTATGCCACCAACTTCTAGAATGCCACACTAACACATATGAGCGACGTTTCGGTGTAACTACTAACGCCGTTATCAAGCACCTGCTCATTTTATTAAATTATATAAAGAAGTTGAATATCCTTAGAACTCTCCTCGTTGTTCATCACACCAACCTCTAAAGGACACCAAGAAAATATCTTCGTTACCTCGTTCGTTTTGATGCTTTGAGTTTCAGAAGCCATGCGTCAGTTCGTAGACAGCGGTTTTAGCTGGCGCGTGGTAACATTTACTGCCACGCGAAAGAAAATATACACCCATCGGTTTTTGTGCTTGTTGATAAACAAAACAAACAAGGAACGGATAAACCATAGTGGTGTCGTAGGTGTGTTTTGGACCTATATTTAGAGTGTTTTCAGTCTAATTACGTTTTGTATAGTTTGTGTTTAGGGTTAAATTCTGTTTGTGTTACTTTTTTTGTCCGATAATGAGTCTGAACCACTGTTAAATCAATTTCATATACCCTGTAATATGTTTTTCACAGACTCATTTTTTTCCGGAGCTGACCTTTGCTTGATAGCGTCAATTCCAAGCAGGAATATATAGAAGCTATGGCAAACCTCCACAGTTAAAAAGCTCTACATTTCTTTTTGTCTTAACCGTTCTTTTAACCCAGTTTCACCAACATCAACGGAGCTCTCTTTTTTTCTCCCCAGAGTGAGCTCCGATTTCAGCCCAAATAGTCTCGATGCACCACAAGATACAACAGGTGTGGAAATAGACAATGTTTCACTGAATCTTTACAAAAGATAAGCTTGGTTGTTTAAGAAAAACAAAACAAACACGCAAACAAATCTTATATTTGGTTATTAAAAGATAAAATACAACCATGCTGTTTGTATCCCACTACGGATTTCTGACCGATTATGACTCGGATCAGTGATGCAATCCTCTGTGTCAATATTGTATGATATCGATTGGCCATCGGCATCCCCGTTGTCTGTATATATTGTAACATTCATTCAGCTCGCGGCAGTTAGTTCGTTTCGCTAGCAAGATTTATATACCGTGACGGACACAAAATACCAGCAGTAATTATTGATGTAGCTAAAAAATACATTTTTATACGTTTGACCTAAAAATGTTTGTCACAGGTATTCATTTGCGCTTTAGCAATTTACTGTTAGATTCATGTTAGTAAATCGTACCGTGCGATGAGTACCATAAATAACCACCTCCGTACTCGATATCCATTCAGTAACATAAATACACATTCGTACTTCATTCAAACGCAAATAAACTCTCTTAACCTGAGTGATTACCAGGTTCCACACACAAATACACACCGCCGTTAATAATTAGTCTTTAGTAGAGCCAAGCAAGCAATATCGCAGGCAGCCCTTCCAGTATGTACACATTACAGTTCCTTCCATCATCGACTCACTACCGTAGTGATTATTCGTAAAGATTTTGCAAATATTTGCCGACGGCTGAATCAATTGCTGGTTTTATAATTATAAGACAAATGTGTGTTTTGTAGACATATTAAATGCAGTTGAAGACATCGGTATGGACAATATGTAACAATAAGTAATGAGTGTTTGGTAATACGTTTGTCCTATTGCAATTGTAAACCTATGTGATCTATTGTACCATTGTAGTCAAGGCTTATGCTATATGAACAAGTCAGTCTTATACTTGCATCTAGCCATTTTGCCACTTCTCAAAGCTGAGTGATAACGGATATGGTACACCACTCACATAACGAGCTGTGAGCGTTATATACCAGGATTACAATTTAAGCTGATACCCACTCAAAATTAATAGAATTAATTACTTTACACGTTTACTAGTATTTCTATTTACATATCATTTCCTATTCGCAACGGGTACGTGGAGAAGAGCCAGCTCACATCTTTTAAAATAAATCCTGAAATGTTTAGTGTGTCGTGAACGAATGTCCTCGAAGGTGACTGTTTACGAATGTAACAGCTAGTGTGTAACCTGATGAACATCGTAATCTTACAATTTCTGTATCATTACTCAACAGGACCGTAGGAATCAATTTACGTCATTCTAAACGTATCTCTGAACATACGTGGTATTCAAGTATTGTTGGTTGTTACACCGAACCTACACATTGTAATCTGACCGTGCGCTGCCTGTATACACGATACGTAATCTGATTCTATAACATACCTAATCACTGAGAAGAATCCGTCGAGTTCATTGATCCCGAAGTTAATTAAGACGACGCAACAATTTCCATCGCCATAGCAAAACTTCACTGTGCGAGTCACGACCTACGCATGGCTGTGCGTATGAAAAACAATTAAACAGAGATTATACCAGGTACTCGCAAAGACGTGAGCGTAGCCTGCCCCTCCACAAACACATGCAAAGGCAAATCAATTGTTCACCTGAAAAACACTTCAACCATGGTACATTAAGAGTGAGTGAGTGAGTTTAGTTTTATGCTGCACTCTGCAATGTTCCAGCTATATGGCGGCGATCTGAAAATAATCGAGTCTGGACCAGACAATCCAGTGAGCAACAGCATGAGCATCGATCTATGCAGTTGGGAACCGATGACATGTGTCAACCAAGTCAGCGAGCCTGACCACCCGATCCCGTTAGTCGCCTTTTACGACAAGCATGGGTTACTGAAGATCAATTCTAACCCGGATCTTCGAGGGTCTGGTACATTAAGAACGGGTACTGACTGGATTAAAGACTACAGTAACCAAAAGAAGAGATGACACAGAAATACGTTCATTCATGGCGGCTTATCAGTAAAAGCGGATGTACGGCAATTTTTTACGTTCGTACAAAAACGCAGAAGTTAAATCTTATGAACACGTACCCTAATGACTTTACACTGCTTATTATATTTACAATATAAAATGTCTACAGAAACAACTTTATTTCTTAACGAATAGTTAAGTGCGACATGGAGGCATACAGTTGTCATGCCTTCATAAGATTTTCGGGGCAGTGGGGTGGCATAGTGGTTAAACCTTTCGCTCGTCACGCCGAAGACCCGGTTTCCATTGTCCACATGGGTGTGAAGCCCATTACTGGTGTCCCCCGCCATGATATTGCTGGAATATTGCTAAAAGCGGCGTAAAACCATACTCACTCACTCATAAGATTTTCATAAAGGTCTAAGACCTGTACTACATAGCTTACTTTACACATAAGCTGACACGATATAATATCAATCACGTACTGTTGAAAGCGACGTTACAGCCAGGTCACTCGTTCACACATGTGGATCGTGACTCTTATCATGAACTGTTTATCTATTAATATATATATATATATGTATGCGCAAGCTGTTATTTGCTGTTTTTGTCATGAAAAACTAGACTAAACAATAGAAATACATATATTTTGAAATTCTGATGATGCACAAACATGATATAGATCCTGACGTCGTGAATAAATAGACGGAATAATTGATGATTAATCTGCTCTGAAAACGGTGTGACGAACAAGACAGAAAAATCAAAGCTGTATTTATGAACAGTTTTTACGACTAAAACCAACAAGGGTAGAACTATGTAAAATATATACATGTTTATACTATTTCATATTCACACTAAAGTAAATGAAATTGTACATTCGTATTGTACATTCGTTGGTATTTTATTGCAAACAGCTCCTATTTTTATAAACAAAGGCGTCTTTATTTTACCTTAAGCTAAATAAATCATACGTAGACAGGGAATTTATCATTTAAACTGATGGTGAGGTATAACGGTAACGTAATACTTCGTACGAGTACAATGCCTCATTATACAAATGATGAACATTGTGGCTTAAACTGGCCGAGGCGTTGATCATTTAGCGGGGAGATCAATGGTGTATACATAACAAGAAAAACGGTAAAGCAGTCAACGCGGGCAAGGAGAACAAAGATCTACAGCACACCACTCCTGCCTTATCCTATCACTGCATGATACCAGGGGCTCTCAAGATGTCAGTAAACTATGGGGAACTCAAATAAACTTGGTGTTAACTCGGTTATCTTACTATTATTGATAGTCGAAAGGAGCATCTAGAAACATTATCTTTAGAGTAAATTCTCTGGGTGCCCTTCTCTAATTACTTGATGCACACTAAACCTTTAAGATGTGTTTGTTTTTAGCCTAATTATATGTTGTAGCTTCAAGAATGTTGCTCCTTTGGAGGATAACTGCGGGACATTTACTAAATACTCGTAGTTTGATACATATATTTACCGATATACATGCAGTGTCTTTTCACAGAATGCTGCCATTGGTATATCAGATAGTGGAATAAGTGCTTGATAACTACGTTTCTGTATTTGAGAAAATATGATTATTTTCATTTTTCATGATTCCTGTATACAACTAAAGTTATTTTCCTTCAATGTCACCCCAGGGGTATACAGGGCTGGAATAATTCCCCAGCCACCTATACTGGCCTCGGTGGTTAGGTCCGGTAACTTGGCTGACTCAGGTAATGTACCCGATGAAGTGCATCGTTCCTGGCAATAACCATCACAGGGTTGTCTGCTCCAGATTCAGCGTGACACAAAAACACTATCAAAGATCTTTACGAGAAACGAAAACTCGTCATAAAAAGACCATTCTACTTTTAAAAACACTTATGAGCAATATGTCAGTATATTAAACATACATCTTACCTTTCTGTCTGCGAAACGTCATCCATGCCACCTTAAAACAACATCCTATCAGGAGACCCGGGAATGGAACATCTAACAGTAAGACACAGTTTCATCCGTATAACTGTGGCAATTCCTCAGTGAACGTGTATGTTATAATGATCCTGGTGCTAATGGGAAACCTACAGATGAGATTCCGACGTAGCCGAGCTATGTTACACGCCCATCTATTGATTTCTAAATATGCTACCGACAGTCCTCTGCTCACTTTTTATTTAACCGGTGTACAGGAATGTACTCGTGGTGCCTTTCAGAGGTAAATATAGCCTGGGGGACCGAGTTGTGGATGCTTGTGGGGCAAAGATAGATCCAGATGTCGGGGGAGTACTGAACTTTGTAGTACTCCTCGGCCGTTTGCATTGTGAATGTCACAATAACTTAGTGAAATACGCTTGTGTGGCAATAAATACCGAAAACTGAAAGGTGATCGTTAGTTTTTTGTAACTGTGTTAGACTGAGGGCGCATCAAACTGATAATACTTTGATGGAACGGTTTGAAGTAAGATAAAAATATATCGATTATTTTCACACCGGTTCACCTCATGCTTTAAACACTATGACAAATAATACCTAGAAGTAAGACACAACATACCTTATGGCGCATCTAATCTTAGTGACGGGTGGAGACTGGTTTTGAGACTCTTTACACAGTGTACCCATGTGGGACATTCAACCCGGGCATTCGGGAGACGAGCGAACGGTTTAACCGCTAGGGTACCCCACCACCCCCAATCCCACCCGAACCCTGCGGCATTCCGGGTAAGAGTAATTCCCCAAGAATCTGTGTATGTCGTCAGACTTGGTGAATTGGTTAACAGCGTGTCATCATACCATGATGGCGTGCACCTTTGCTCACTGTATCACTGACCCGTGAAGGTCCAGGTTAGAATATTGATCTTCAGTAACCCATGCTTGTCGTAAGAGGCGTTGGGTGGTCAGGCTCACTGACTTGGTTGACACATGTCATCGGTTCCCAATTGGTTCCATCGGTTCCCAGATCGATGCCCATGCTGTTGATCACAGGATTGTCTGGTCCAGACTCGATTATTTACAGACCGCCGCCATATAGCTGGAATATTGCTGAGTGCGGCGTAAAACTAAACCTCACTCACTCACTGTATCACTGCTCACTGGGTAGTCTAGTACAGATAGGATTGTTTATCATCGGCCGCTATCATGATAAACAAACAAACATTACCTGCATGACTAGAAACTTCGATTTGATGCGCCAGGGATCAACAAAAAGATAGACTAAACAAATCTGTAAACTACAAATATTTTTTTTCATTGATATATATCTACATAGCGCCAATATCCAGATCACCTGCTCAAAGGCGCTTCGTTTTTCCCTCGATCATTGGATGTCAGTCTCAAACGGCACAATGTTTTATCAATCTCAACTCCCTAGGGATCATACAACTCTTGCAGCCACTATAGGCGCACTGAGTTAATGTGGCTTTCCCATCCTTACGAGGTGCCCATTCACAGCTGGGTGGACTGGGACACATAGTCACGGTACTTTGTCCAAGTTTACTGCCCGTTGCTGTACCCGCAACTAGGTGTTTGCACATATTCTTGTGGCCACCATCTGGTCATATACCAACGGATCTTTTAAGTGAACAGGGTTGTGTGGTGTACACTAGGGGCTGTGACAACACTGAAAGAGTCTGCACACAAAGTTGACTCCAAGGTTTTTACACCCGGTCAGAGGTGGGCTCGATCCCGTCACCTCAAGCTCGCTGGATCACTAGCCTGGCGCCTTAGCCAGCTCGCCAACAATGCCACCCTTTGATGATCAATTAATGATGAAGACAGTTACCAGCCATGAGGATGCCTCAGTTGAAACCATATTTCTTCGAGACAGGTATTATGTTGTTGCTTTTGTTTAACTGTCCTCGTTTTTCTCACTGTAGGTTTGCAATGGGAAGGCAATTACTTGGGAAACTGAACGCATGGAAGTACAAAATGAAGTATCCCTTACAGGTTCGAACCCTAGGTACCTACCTGCTTCAACTATGACTGACACCTCCTGCTCAACTTATTTGTCATATTTAATGACAACATAGAAATGAGGTCTGTTTAAGAGAATACGAATTACTCCATTGGCTATTAAACCATAAGGACTGTTTTAAGAAGTGCACATTTAGTATAATTTAGTGTTATGGAGAGGGTCATGTCAATGTATTGGATAAGAATGTCTCGAATTTAACGGCACTTTACAGTGAACATGTTTATCATTTGTCCATTATGTTTGTGTACCGTCATGCTATTACATTTGAGAAAATTCTGATGTATATGAGTGTGTATTTTACGCCGCTTTTAGCAGCATTCCAGCAATATCACGGCGGGTAACGAGAATGGGTTTCACACACTGTACCTATACGGGGAATCCAACCCGGACATTCGGCATGGCGACCGAACGCTTTAACCACTAGGATATCCCACGCCAGAGGGCGTATCGTACATGAACTGACGAAAGTAAATGTAGACAAACTAATCACTACCATGTAAATTTAATACTGAATGTTGGTGTAAAGGTAAAACATCCGTATTGATAGTAGTCTCTCATCGTCCTTCACATAACAGGTACGTAAATCAGTTTATCATTGTGCTAACAGCAGTGAAAGCCACCGGTGTGCGATGGTAGCAAGTCTGTACAAACAGCAGTGTGTTATTACATGGTGAAGCGATGTCTATCGGTTCCATGTCCGTGTTGTTACATTGGTTATCTAATTAATCAATCAATGTATTATGTATTTTGTTGAAAGTGCACAGTAAGTGCGATTTATGACCACCTTATCTGTGAATCAACGGAACCACTCGTGACAGTAAACGTATGTTGAAAGTAGTTCCGGTATTCGATGGCGTGTTATGAAAAATAATATCAATTGTCCATATAATAAAAACAACAAGAAGCGAAACGTAACCGTGCTTCATTACAAACTGTATATTTTGTTCTGTTCATTGAGGTATATAAATTAATTAAAGCGGACGGAAATTTCGAGATGGATAAACATTCCAATCGAAGGATTACATACTGTGACGTTATTTGCATCAGGTGATTGTTTAATTTATGTACATAACTTGACACGCCCACAATGTCAGTCGCCAGTTAACAGAGAGCAGCATCAAAACCATTTCACAGGACCTGTCAATCACGGTAAGAGGCGAGAAGATGTATCACATCGGAACAAATATGTCAGGATAAGGCGGCTGTTTCAAATGAGATGGCCAGTAACCGCCAAATTCAAGCATTGCATGGTTTCCTTTGAACGATAAACTGTAATACGCTGCTTAAGAAAAGAACCCGGAAACATTTCTTTTGGGTCACCCTAACGAGCGTAAAAAAACATGCGAGTGATCTTGTAGGCCCTGAAGGTATGTTGTTTCATTCCTCCCAGGCTTCGGTTATCGAACCCTGGTTTGATCGATCCTGAATATGTACGAATATCGCATGACGATGTTCATTGGCACAACTCAAGCCTAGATTGGAGGCATTATATCATTAAAAATAGTCTAATAGTCTGGGAGATGATATTAACTATGCCAAACTACAACAAAGTTGCCGGCTGGTTCTGGTCCTGTGGTAGGCATCGTGCAATCTCATCCAATAGATGTTTTATCGGATAGCTGTCTTGAGAAGTATCCAGCCATGGCAGTTGTTTTGCTTCTTTGCCTGCTTCTTGTTTAAGAAGGGACTAAGCAATGTTCCATCTATATATATGTACTAAGTAATCGAATCTGAACAAGACACTCCAATGATTGACATCATCAGCGCCGATCTACGAAGTTGGTACAGTTGGTACAGCTGTACAGTGGTCCTAAACAATGTTTACTTACCAAACAGAATAGTGAATAACAAGTGTGTTGTCAGGAAACAAAGCAGTAAACAATGCAACAACTAAATAATATTTTCCTCTGATTTGGTTGTTGAGGCCATAATGTCGCTTTCCCGCTAAATAGAACTAATCAAGTACATCTATGCTTTTGTTAGTGACTGGCCGTGTTGGTTTCAACTCCGCTTTGAACCATATTCCAATTTCATCAAAAGTTGTATTATTGCTTAAACAAACAACCTCTAAAATGTCGCCATGTATGAAGATTAAAAGCTATATCCACATTGATGAAATATTGAAAATGTATTGTTTCAGGTCTCTTTGCCCTTTAGCAGAACAGTGCATTATGAAATACTATGACAGTGCGGAGGAGATTTGAAGAGGTGTTGGTTCTAAAACTACATTGAACGGAAATAGCACGTGATGTGATACCAAATCGATATTTTATCATCATGGAACATTTTGAAGTAAGACAACAAAACAGTAAGAAAATAAACAGATCGGTTGTGACAAAATAGTATCAGATACAGTGCATGCATATGCTTGACGTTCATATGGATAAAACCAGTTCTCGTGTTGGTTTGCTTAGATATTAGCAGGATATTAGCAGGAGATAAGCGGTTTTTTGTGGTTGTATGTGCACACGTATGTATAAATTAATAATATGTTTAACCCCGTATCCAAGGAATGAACTGACAAAACAAATTACCCATTGGCTATTGAGCCTTAAAGATCGTTATCAGGAAGGGCGCATTTGGCACCATTTAACGTCATAACGAGGGACATAAAATATCTTTGTCTCGAACATGACTCGGTTCATTTATCTGTCTTTTACCGTATTTTCTATTATCAATTGTTTTGCAATTAAGCTTCTGTATTTGAGAAGGCGAACCGAATGTAGTATTACCTGAGAAGGCGAACCGAATGTAGTACCATCTGAGAAGGCGAACCGACCGAAGTAAATCACTATAATGGACCATTGCCTTATCCCTTTAGTACATACTGTGTGTTGTTGTGCAAACAAGTCATCAATATTACCTCTATATACTGTCCTTCAAAATATTCAAGCACAGTCAGACAATGAAGTGGTTCATTTTGTAAGCAAAATTGGAAGGTACCACGCGACCAAACCATGACTATACGATCCTCATTCGGTCAGTTCGCAATACATTTGTCTTGGTAAGATATTTTAAGTCAAAATTGTATCATTTCCTACACAATGAGACCAAAGAACCTAATTATAGGCGCACTCATACACACACTGTAACATAGAC